TGGTCTTGATCCTCTGTATTGACTATTTTAAATACATTTTTAAAGCCTTCTCCTTTATCCCTGGCTGCTGTGGCTCAATGGTCAAAGCGTCTGTACACCAAAAGGCTGCAAGTTTGATCCCCAGTTGGGGTGTGTACAGGAGACCACCAGTGGATGTTTCTCTCCCACACCAGCGTCTCTCTCCTCCCCCTCCCTCTGCATTCAACAAACATTTTTAGGAAGCTTGCCCCTTTGATGTCACCCACACAGTCAGTCTGAGCACCGGGGGCGGGGCGGGGGGGTTAACAGAAGAGCCGTGCCGATCCCTGGGGAGGCAGAGCAGATGCCATTGTGAAGCCAGCCAGAGGAACGCGGGCCACCCCGCAGACGGTCTGTCCCAGCCGTCCTCAGAGGCTCTGCTTCCTAAGTGGCCCCCGGCTGAGGGAGCCCTTCACCCACCAGGACGAGCCTTCCTGGGCCTGCGGCTCTGCCCGGAGAGCCTGAGGGCTTCTCTCCTCACACGTCCTGCGCTAGGCAGTCTTCACAGCCAGGGGCGACGCTGGGGTCCGTCCGTGAGGAGCGCTGCCCTGTCCCGCAGGGGAGGACATGGGAGGGTGTGCCTGGGGTCTGGGGCCACGGGCGTCCTTTCTGCGGTGAGATGGGAACTGGGACATCTCAGATGGGGAGAGGACGAGGCTCTGCTTAGGGCCCTGAGCCCTCGTCTCCGTGGTGGCAGCACAGAAACACAGCATCTCCCTCACTGCGGAGGAGGAGAGCGAGTGAGGATCTCCATGTCAGGGCTGTCAACTCCTGCAGCAGAAACAACCCCCAGACACAGTGGTTCCTGGCACAGGGTTCCCAATTCTGGAACGGTTTTCAACTCGGAGTATAGAGTATAAAGATTCAAGGAAAGAGGAAAAAAATTGCTACAAGCCTAGGGAAAATTGGGCAAGATTAAACAATGCCTGATGACAGCTAAGGACGTGTAAAGTGTCTAACTGTTCCTAAGTATTCTTATTTATTGTTCATCTTTTCTGTTTTTTTAACAAACGACTTATGCAGATGTTTAGTTTTGCTTTGCAGTGTTTGTTCACGTTTCAAAAACTCCCGTGGAAAAGGCTACATGTCGTTTTATTTCCATGACTCCTTTCTACAAAAACCCAGCCATGCCCTCAACGACATTCTGCCCTGGAGCCCCGCCATCCCAGTCAGCACCTCCTCTCCTGCGGAAACGGTGTAGGGGTGAGGAGACGCCCCTGCAGGGCAGCATCAGGGGCCCGTGAGGGTGGGAGCGGGCCGAGGTGCCGGGGCAGGGACCTGCTGGGGGCTCCTCAGGCCTCGGGCCCCGCTAGCGCCAGGCGCCTTCTCCCCACTCACCGAGCCCCACAGCCACCCTCTCTGAGCTGCCACCATTGGCATTCTCGCTCCTCTTCTGCCTCTCTCCACCTGTCTCCCTTTGCCCAACCCCGTTAGCTCAAAGCCCCACCCACTCCTTCTGCGCTTGCTTTCAGCCCTAGCACGAGGTCACAACAGAAGCACGCAGGTGACCCGCCGGGGCCCCCGCTGCTCCCTGGCAGAGCTGGGCGCCTTCTCTCTCCCCACCGCGCCCCCACGTGTGCTGCCAGAGCCACTCTCAGAAAACAGCTTCCTGCCCTCCGAGGGTGGACCGCGGCCACGAGACACAGACCACCTCTCTGTTCCGAGGTCCGTCTCCCCGGCGTGTCGCAGATGCGCCCAGACTGCCCCTCCTGGCTCATTCCCAGCCCTCTGCCAAGTCGGCCCCAGGAGCAGCGTTCTCGCAAAGGATCTCTTCGTTTGGAGCCTAGAATCATCCCTCTTCACTGACGGTTTTTCTCTATTAATAACATGCTTTAGCACCTTCCAGTCTCTGTGCTTTTATTTTAAGATTTCATTTATTTATTTTTAGAGAGGGGAAGGGAGGGAGAAAGAGAGAGAGAGAGAAACATCAATGTGTGGTTGCCTTTCACATGTCCCCTACTGGGGGTCTGGCCTGCAACCCAAGGATGTGCCCTGACTGGGAATCGAACCAGCAACCCTTTGCTTCACAGTCGGGTGCTCAATCCACTGAGCCACACCAGCCAGGGCCAGTCTCTGTTCTAAGAGAAGCGTTCTCATGTGTTAACTGTGCTAATGCTACTTGTGCACATGTCTGGTGTCTTTTACTGCAACGGAGACCCCTGAAGCCCAGGAAGCCAAACGTGAACCTGTCATGCCCATGCAAGCCTAGCACCGAGCCTCGCCTGCAGCAGGCGCACAGTGCACGCACTCTGGAGAGGGTTTTCCACCCAGCTAAGTCGTCCTTGGGCTCTTCCTGGTCTCTGAGATGTGGTCATGGGTGTGTCGCACTTGTCACGGGGTGTGGCTGTAGCCAGACTAACCCTAACCCGCGGGGCTGAGAACGCCAGCTGGCCGCCTTGGGCGCCGATGTGCACCGCCTTCCTCACGGGAGCCGCCGCTGTCACGGCCCCTTTTCCCTTCTCATTAGTGATGTGAACTTCACAACGAGGATTAATTCCATTAACGCAGGTCTTCAGTCCTTCTAAATTAGCAGCAGTCTCTGGGGGAGGGTTACATTTAAATTGGAGTAAGTTAATTTTTCTATTTTTTTTTCTTTGGACTAAATGGTATAGGTGGGAGAATGGAAACACTGCCTTTTGTCCATAGCAAACAGGGGCAGAGACAGATGCTTTGAGGTTCTGGAAGCTACCAGGACAGGCAGCCTGGTCTGTGGGCCCGGAGCCCCGCCGGCCCGGTGCGCCCACGGGTGTGCCCCAGACTCCTGTGCTGCTGCCCTGCCAAGAGGGCTCTCGTCCCCCGGTGGGCGCTCTGCACGGCCTGGACGACGGAGCACAGACACCGCTCCTGGCAGGCCACAGCTGAGACGCGGTCCGTGTCAGACAGAGGAGGGCAGACAGCACCTGGTCTCACTCTCACGCAGACGCTCACGAGCACCACGAGCGAACGGACCAAGCGGGAACAGACTCGTGCGCATGGAGAATGGATGAGGGGCGCCGGGCGGGGGGACTGGGTGGGAGGCAACCGGGTCGGGAAGCACGGGTCTGCAGCCACACCACGGCCGCGGGGATGTCCAGGCCAGCCCAGGGAGCCGAGTCAGTGACGCTGTGATCCCTGCAGACGGGGCCAGGTGGGCGCTGGACTATCGGGGACCACGCTGTAAACCACGCCAGTGTCTGACCCCTACGCTTCGCGCCTGGAGCTGACAAGACGACGCAGCCAGACGCAGGCTGGGGCCCTGCTTCAGCCCCGTCTCTGCCATTCACAAGCGGAGGGCGGTCCTGCGGCTCGTCCCAGCAGGGGCCAGACGGACACTGGACGGACACCGGATGGACGCCACTCTGCTGAGCCCGCACGAGTGGCTTGCACTTCCCAAAAACACCTGTTCAGTGTACGGGTTGTGATACTGTTCCTTCCTTCCAAGTTTCCATGACTTCAACTGTCCTATACAATTCATACACGAGGGGAAGGGATGGAGAAAGGGGGGGAAACGCTGAGGCGAGAGAGAGACACCGACTGGCCACCTTCCACGCGCGCCCTGACTGGGGACCGAACCTGCAGCCCCGGCTCGTGCCCCGGCCAGGGGTCAAATCTGCAACCCCTCCCCTTCCAGGGCAGCGCCCAACCCCCTGCGTCACGCTGGTCAGGTCCGCATGTTTTTATTTCACAAGAAAAAAGAGGAAAGTATCTAAAAAGTACATCAATTATAAGCTTCAAAGGAAAAAAAGATGGTAATATCTCTGAGGCTATGATGTTTTTCCTAAAGATGAATTGTGGTAAAAAATGTTTTCTGCAGTACACAATATTAAAATTAGATCTGGCCTCCACCAATTCTTAGTCACCCAACTTAAGGACAGTTAAAAAGATCAGACAGGAAAAGCAAGGCAAGGAAGACCTACTGATATAAAGCAAACATGCCCCCCCACTGTACGTAATCACAATTGATACGAAATTCTACAACCTTCCACACATACACACTCACACACATCACGTGGTGGGCACTTCTGATTCCCCTAGCAGGAAACATGCCGGACTTCACCAGGGACTCCCGATCACGATGCCCTGGCGCTCCACTGCAGGGCTCAAACCCCCGGCGTCCCCCCGAGCTCCGTGAGCAGCGGTAAAGGCGCCCTGCACTCCGCCTGCCCCGAGCCGGACACTTCCCAGGCTCCACAGTCGGGCCGGGGCCTTGCCGGGAGCACCACAGCGGACCCACCCGCTCATGGAGGCCCTTGCCAGGCTGCCTTCCGGGACCCCCAGGGCGGACACCCTCTGGCCCGAGGCCCTGCGCCCCGCCAGGGAGGCAGGCTTCTCTGCAACCTGGCGGCGCACTCCATCCCTCGGCCCACGCAAACCTCAGCCCTTGGCCCCGGCGGTCTTGTCCTCCTCAGCCCCGAGGGGGGCACAGGACAAGCGCCACGCCCACTGGGTCGCCGGGGCTCCAAACCAGTTCTAGCAGCCAGACAGCAGCCAGGGGACAGGCACTGCCCATCACTCCATGTTCCTCAAGGCCTTCCTTCTGCCCCGGCTCAGGCCCCAGAGCACTGCTCCGCCACCCCTCTGCCCGACTCTCCCGCGTTTCTGTGGGTGCGGGCACTGCTGCTGGGGTGCAGGGGGTCAAAGTCGAGGACGTTCTCTGGGCTGGCCACGCGCAGCTCTAGGCCAGTCAGTCAGATGCGCTGTTGCAGCTCAGATGCCAGGACACTGACCCGTCCTTCAGTCTGGGAAGTCAGGCAACGGGCCATCTCAGACCCCAGCTCTGAACCCAGGTGCCGCCAGTCGAGCCTCAGCCTGCAGGAGCTCCTCCCGCGCCCTGGGGAACCCGACCCTCTGTCTCCAGTGGAGTCCTCCCCCACTGGTGGGACGCTCATGGTGCCCGCGGTCTGCGCAGGAGCCCCTGCCCGCTCGGCGCCTCGCCACCCCGCCTTCCACAGACGGAGGGCGTCCGTGGGCTGGTTGGGACAATCCTGGGTCCCACGGCTCACCTGCCTGGTATCCACAGCCAGGGAGGGTCCCTTCCTGTGTCAGAGGGTTTGAATTCACAAACCAGCACACAGATCCGGCCTCTGCTTTCCATCTGACTTTAACCCAGAGGAGCGTGTGTTTTCAACCACCCCATGGGCACGCCACGTGGGAGGTTTTTAAAGGACGGGGGAGAGGAGAAAAGGGGACTGGGGTCGGTCCGCGAGCAGGCAAGGGAAACGCAGTGGGACAAGGGGCTGCAGCAAACGTGTGAAAAAGAAAGAGAAAGTGGGGCAGGCCCGCCAGCCTGCCAGACTCCTCACTTCCTCTGAGAAGGCACAGTCGAGGTGCTGATTCAAGAGCCCCGTCCGTCCGGGGTTCCTTCAAACCCGGCGCCTGCCCCGAAGACGAAGACGGGGCTCCCAGGGAGACGGCCACCCCTTCCCTTCGCCACCACAGCAAACACCTCTGTTTTCCCCCAAATCATCCCACAACTAGACTTCAGTTCTTCCACTCGGTGGGCCCCTTTAAACCCAGCCCCGAGTCTAGGAGCTGAAACTGAAAACACTCTCCACTTGCCATTGAGAATCCTTTTCAGTTGGTGGTTAGGCGCTGGGGAGAAGTTTCTCTTCCCACGGCCCCCGCCCTCCCTGAAGGCCCTCGGCACTCCGAGGCAGAGCAGGGCTCCGAGCTGTCCGGACCTGGCTGGGGTCCCAGGGGAGGTTTGCTGGGCACTGTTTCGTGAAAGAAAGTTGCTAAGCTGTTGTCAACACCCACAGATCTCCGAGGGAGAGTGAATCAGAAAGCTATAAATAGTCACCAAACCTGATCGTTTCCTAGTCTGTGTCAGCCACACAAGGGGTGAATAGGTCAACACCTTCTGGAGAGTGAAAAACAGGACAGGATACGGAGCTCTTCAGAAGCACTTCCCGTAGCAGCGGCAGCGCTGGCCTGCGGGCCTCGGCCTTCTCCACTGAGACAGGTCGTGGTGCTGCGGGCCGGGTTCTAGCTCCGGGCCGGCCGGGGCGCGGTGGTGCGGCCACAGTCAGAGTCCTCTCCACCTTGTCCCCAGTGGCCTTCTCTGACGAAGGTCCTGGACACGGCCCTCCATGGGAACTTGCCTTTCCAAACGGTGTTAACAACACTAGCTGGGAAATTTAGGGTTATGTAAATTAATGAGACTTTAATAAATTGCCCACCTGGTTGAAAGTTCGGGTAGCTCTCTGGTTCTGCCAAGACTTGAGGTCTTCAGGGCACCTGGTCACTCCCAAGGGGAGTGCGTGGCGTGACCAGCGCCGCCCAGGCCCCAAGGAGCTGCCCTGCATGCTGGACGCTGCCTCGGGGACAGGGTTCCGAGGGCCAGCACTGGCCCGTGTCCGTGTCTGAGTTCTGCCTGCCTTGGTCCCGGCCTCCCCAAGCGAGGAGACCTTCCTGAGAAGTCTGCTTGCTCTCGGGAACCCGGGGGCTCCGAGGAGCACCGGGCTCTGGGGCAGCACCGGGCTCTGGGGGAGCCCGCCGCAGCGCCGGGCAGGACCGTGAGCTCTCAGTCCTCGGAAAGGGGCCGCCCCGGGCCACCAGCTGCTGCCCCGGCCCTCAGCACACCGCACACCAGTGCGCGCTCCCCCTGTGGCGGGACCGACTGCGCCGGCGAGCTCTGACGCGGCCACTTCTGTGGGCCACGCAGCCCCCAAATGCCCTTCGAGCAGCATGCGGGCCTGCGGAGCCTCGTCCTTCTTCTCTGCTGACTCAGCCTCAAGGCGGCAGTTGTTCCGTCACGAGGTGAAAACAAGGCGCCTCTCTGTCATTGCTGAAATAGAACCACTGGGTTCTGTTCCTCCGAGTTCTATTGCCTGCCGCCAAAACACCGTGATCCCAATGCCAGAGTCTTGTGAAGAGGGACTATTTACTCAGAAGTTACACAGGTTTAGAATAATGGCAGAATTTTGCCATCAAGTCCCACTCCCCTTAGAAACAAAAACACCCACACCCACGCGGCCTGCCGCCCTGTGCCGAACCAGCCAGTGAGGAGGACCAGCTCCCAGGAGAAGGGACAGCGTCTGCAGCTCAGCACCCACCCGTCCCAGTTCAGCGCTCCCGGCTTCTCCCCGTAATCCGTGCTTGGCTAGGCTCCCGCCTAGTTTAACCCAAAACTGCATGGCCCCTCCCCCTGGCGGGCCGGTGAGGGTCCTTCGGCATCCTTTCAGGTCACGTGGCCAAGACTGCCTTCTCCACTCCCGAGCCGCACGCTCGCAGAGCCTCACACGGCTGAGAGCGCCTGGCCGCCCTTCGCTTGGGTTTAAACCCCAGTGCGGATCTTCCTTCGTAACCCCATTTCCAACTCCTCCCACAAAGGGTTACCCCTGCCAGCACTCTGGTCTCTTCTGCCTTTCTGGCTGCGGTTGTTGGTCCGGGCAGTCTAGGTCCCAGGGCGCGGGAACCACCTCCTGCTCTCGCTCCGGCGCAGCCACCGGGGCACTGCCTCCCAGGCCCCAGGCAGCCCTCCAGAGCCACAGGCACAGCCGTCAGCGTCGCTAAAACCCTGGCCGAGTTCTCCAGACGTGCAGAGTGACTCTCCGTGGCCCTGCTCCCCCCCCCCCCAGCCGTGCTAGTGGGGGTGCGGGGGCCTGCAGCTCAGCACCCTGTCACACTGCCTTGACCTGGGCTCTCCACTGCTCCCTCGCCTGTGACTTGCCACGGTATTCCCTGGTTATTTTTCCACTTTTGTGACAGTTTTTCTTCCTGGCACAGAATGTGTCAGTCATTTTAAAATCGAGTCTGCTCTGTTCGCTTTTTCCTTGGAACACTCGGGGGTCTGATGTTAGGGCTACAGCTTACGCGTGTAGCTCAAGTGTGTAATCGGGCAGTTTTTCATTTTTCTGTGTCAGAGTGAATCCCCTTAACTTATCCCCTAATACCCATTATGCGATCCTTCCCTGTGCCATAATCTAAAGACAGGAAACCACAAATTACCTCACTTTGCACAGTAATTATAAACTCTGACTCAGAAGTTCTGATTAGAATCACACAATCTAAACTTGGGAGGGAATACAGAGGTCATCTTACTGACTTTATCTTGGGAATCGCCAAGGTTTTTCTTTTGTTTGTTTTAAACACCAGATTCCTGCCCCTTCTCCCACACACGGAGGTGCTGATTCCCCGGGCCTAACTTAGAGGTCCGAACTCTGTATTTCCCGAAGGCCCCTAGGTGAGTGAGAGGGTGAGCAGTCAGTGGTCCAGGGATTAGTCCTTACGACATTCTTGGTCTGTGAACACCCAGCTTCTGCAAGCACAGGGTAAGAAACGAGACCTTTCCTGGAGTCACGCATGTCGCCCTGTCACACACTGACTGGGCAGGACAGTCATCGCTCCCCGCTTCCACTGGGATGCGTGGAAGCCGAGGCTGTGGTCTAGTGCCGGCCGGAGGGCCCGTCCAAAGAGGGCATCCAGTGGGCAGGCGCTGCCCACGGCTTTTCACAGGCAGTCCCGCGAGGCAGGTGTGTGCAACTGCCCCCATTGTAAGAAGAAGTTCAGGGGAGCTAGAATCTAAACCTACATCTGCGAGGGTCTACAGCTCATGTGTTTTCTAGTGTATCACGTGTACCACCCAGTTCCAAAATAATTACATAGATAAGTAGACACGCTTTGCTTTTTGTAACCGAGAGAACCTACTTTTCTTATGACCATCTCAATTATGCAAAATTAGTCACAGCCAGTAAGTACTGACCACTTACCATGCCCCAGGCACTTTACATGTGAGATTAATTATACTACTGGCAAACCCTGTGGGAAACGCACTACTTATTTAGGTCATAAGAGGCTTTGTGACTTAAAATGTCTACTTCTTTAGAGGCCTCTTAAGAACAGGATGGATTCCCACCGACGGGAATGGTTAAGAGACTGTGCGACCGGCAGGCAGACAGAAGACAGCTTGGTCTCCGGAAGCCCCGCTTGCTCTTCCGTCCCACGAGACCTCTCCCCGAGAGAGATCCCTGGCGAGCGGCTTCCTATTTCCTGTCAGATTAAAAAACGTCCCCAGCGCGCTCATGGATTGGACAGGCCCTAGGTGATCACAATGGTTCACTTTTCCCATGAGTTCAGTAAGTTATATTTTTAGCACATTTCTAAAGCCAGAAAAAAAATTCACCGAAAAAGCCCAACGAACCCCAAAGTGTTACTTTCAGAAGGGAGTTTTTTTGGCCACTGCAGTGGATTAGTTTTCGAGTATTAAAATTTAGCTCAAGTTAAATTTAAGATATTCTCTATTTTTTTCTTCCATTCAGACTAAGGACATTTTTAAATGTGTAAATAAACTGGAAATAACTAGAAATACTTAACTCTGAGAATAACTGCTTTTCTAACTTGAATCTCTAAACATAACTCCAATAAAAAGTAGTCATATGTATAAAGTTAGAGTAACATCTAAGATAATGAAACTTCCCTATATACTCCATATTTTTTTATATCTTGAGTATAAAATGATTAATTAAGTCAGTAAACTTTTTTAGGGCCTGTGACAAATCAACAACCATGCTTGCCACCAGGTACACTGAGATGAATGAGACCAGGGCTCTGCTCTTGAGAAGTTTCAATATGCTTTTATATTACGGGATCAAACTGTATCATATTATGCCAACTTACCACTTTTTAGCCTATGAAAATGGCAATTTTGTGTGGTTCAGCCTACAGTTACTATGTTACATTGTACTGACTTATCGTAAGTACGGATGTAACTGCGCAGAAACCCCACTTCTGTGCGGCGACCCCGTCTCCTCTCTGACCCTCCACCCCCCTCCTCCACCACGAAGTCAGTCCTCAGGACGTCGGATTCTGGGCAGCATCCAACTGTCACTAAGAACACAGCCTCGGGTCTGCTGACCACAGAAACAGAGTTTCCTGTCACACTGAAGATGACGTGTGACCTGGGCGGTGCTTCGGCCCCAGGCCCAGGAAAGCGGACGACCCTGGGGACCACACCCTCGGGCGGAGCATCGCAGCGGCACAGGCTGCCAGCAGGACCCCTCCCCCTGCCCCAACCAATCAGGAGAGCCCACGACCCCCACTCCTTCAGCCGCCAGGGTCCCTGATTGCTCCCCGAGGCAACCCACCCTCCCCCGGCAGCCACCGGGAGCCGGGTCTTCCAGAGCATCAGCTCACCTGGGACTCTGGGCGTGGCGCCATTCCCTCCACTTACAAACCCTTTCTCCTGTTTGCGTCTGGCTGTGCTTTGGTGAGCACCGGGGTGAAG